CCCCCCCCCCCCCCCCCCCCGGCGATCAGTTCTCACAGGAACAAGAAACACTGTAGTTTATGCTGGCTGAGCTGTACCAGCCGGCCACAAGCCCTATCTAGACACCGGCTGGACACACCCTTTTTTCTGGGCCCGCCCTGCCACGCTCATTACGCTGGCTCCGCCCCTCGCCTCTGGCGCCGACGGAGACCACGCAGACGTCTCGCGAGCTTCCACGTACACACTCCAAGGCCTCTCCCCACTGCCCGGGCCGAGCACATCCGGGTTGCTGGAGCAGGTGCTTCAAGCCCCGCCCCCTTTTGCCAGGCGCTAGCCCCACTTCCGGCCATCTCAGGCCTTTTCTGCCAGTGCCGTGCCGGCTTTATCTCTGCCCTGTAGGTCGTTCCCGGCCCCAGGCCCCGGTCTCTCGCGCCCTTCCCTCGCTCCCAGCGGCTCGTCGCTCATCGCGAATCTCTCCGTGGCCCGGAGCGACTCCCGTGCGTCTTCGCGGGCGGCCCGGACCGAGGCCTGCCGCTCGTGGTGAGTCCGCGCAGACGTGACCCCGAGTCTCCCCGCAGCTCGGTTGAGGCCGCCTCCGTCGCCTCGGGATGCCGGGGCCGGGGTCCGCGCAGCGCTGGGCGGCCGCCGCGGGCCGTTGGAGCTGCAGGCTGCTCGCGCTGCTGCTGCTGGTGCCGGGGCCCGGCGGCGCCTCCGAGATCACCTTCGAGCTGCCGGACAATGCCAAGCAGTGTTTCTACGAGGACATCACGCAGGGCACCAAGTGCACCCTCGAGTTCCAGGTACGACGAGCTCTGAAAGTCCAGGGGCCCCAGCTCACGGTTCCAGGGTCGGGGCTGCATCCTGCCTGGTGACTCGTTCCTGTCTGGGTTTCTCCACTCTTGGGCTGAGTCAAGAATCACCTCTAGGTAGCTGATGCAGGGCATTTGCCTTTCCTGTTATACATCTTGGGCGAGAGCCATTTTAGACGAAATATGAAGATACAGGAGTTCCAGAAATGGTTCCTGTGACTTTTCCTTCTATGCTCCAAAATGTTCTTCGTTTTAAGGCCTATTGAACTTTTCTCCTTAAAGCACTTCTTTTAAAAAGAACTTCTTCCTGTTGTATAGTGCTCAGTGACCGGTCCCCTGCTCTCTGATTGACACCTCCACTTGAATCAGTTTTGAAGTCCTGCCAATATCTAATTCCGTTGTTTTTCAGTTTTTCCATTGATGTTAGGACTTTTGTTTAATGCTGTCCCTGTCACAGGAAGAGCTCCTTTCGAGGCTAGAAGACCATCTGCCAAAGGCATTGAACGAATAGCTGCGATAAATGAGAGGACCCTTTTCATCTTTGGGATTTTAATAGGAAAGAAACTTTATTTAACAGAATGTACTTTCTTAAGTTTGCTACAACAATCTTTATTTCTTTTTTTTTTTTTTTTTTTTTTACTTTATTTTGACAGAGGGGGAGAAAGCAGATGTGTGGGGGGAGGGGCAGAGAGACTCCCAAGCAGGCTCCATGTGGTCAGCACAGAGCCTGTCGTGGGGCTCAGTCCCACCAGCCATGAAATCATGACCTGAGCAGAAATCAAGGGTCGGACCTTAATCAACTGAGCTACCCAGGCACCCCAACAGTCTTTATTTCTGTTTTGTTGGTAGACTCATTTAGCTTATTTGAGCAGCTATTGAGTGCTAGGTGCTGGTGATAGGAAGTGGTACAAATAGATTGTTTCGCTGCCATCATTCTCGATTCCTTCTGCATCCAACCCTTTTCTTAATTAGTACCTGCTCATTCATCAAAACTACCTTAAGAGCAGAAAATCTGGGTGTCTCAGTCGGTTGAGTGTCTGTCTGACTCTTGATCCCGGCTCCGGTCGTGATCTTACGGTTCGTAGTTCAAGCCCCCTTATCAGGCTCCTCGCTGACAGTGCAGGGCCTGCTGTGGATTCTGTGTCTCACTCTTTCTGCTTCTCTCCTGCTTCCGCTCTCAAAATAAAGAAATAATTTTTTTAAAAAGGCAGAAAATAGAGGATAAACGGTCTAATCTTTGGGATCTACGAGAGCTTCCTTTAGGAAGTGATTTTAGGCTGAACTGTAAAGGATTAGTTGTACATACTTTGGTAAGGGGAGTGGCGAGGGAATAGAATAGCCTTTGCAAAAGTGTTAAGAGTGGCTGGGAATTTGAGGTCTATCATGAGATCCAATATACTTGGGAATACGTATATTGCCAGAGGAAGGGAGGTCAGGGGTGAGACCATGTGCCTTGCTGGCCTAGTTAAGGATTTTAGTTTTTCCTCAGAGTATGGGAAAGCCATCAGAGCGTTGTGAGCAGTGCAGTGATATGATTCACGCAGTTTTGGTAACTGTATGTTCACTTGTGCAGGTAGAGAAAGTATTAGGGTGTTGGAGAGATGGCTGTAGGAGACTATTATAGTGGTCCAGGCTTCAAGGGTGGTAGCTGTAGAGGAGGAGACAAGTGAAAGGATTGGAGAGAAGCCAGTAGGTGAAATCAACAGGACTTGATGTTTTGGCTACCGCGAGTAAGAGAAGGGAGGCTAAGGATCACCCTTTGGTTTGTTTAACTTCATGGGTTAGAACGAGGGGACTGAAAAGAAGATAGCAGGAATCGTAATATAAAAATGTCTGTGTATTTCAGGTATCAGCGTCAGACACCGTGCTTGGTGCCGAGAATACCACCACTACTGTTATGGGCTGTTACGTCTGTTAGGTAGCAGACAGCACGCCAAGCATTTCAGGCGTGTTACTTAATTCTCAGGACACCTCCATAGGAAATGGGTAGAGTTCTTACTTCTTCCTTACTTAGGAAGCTAAGTCTTTGAAAGCTTTAAGCCCAAGGTTGCAAAACGTAGCACGTGGCAGAATGAGTATGCAGTTCCAGGTTAAGTTCTTAACTCCTATACACTACCTCCCAAAGGTCAGTGAGACTGACCTTGACCTCAGGGAGCTTACATGGATACATGCAGTCATACAGTGTTAAAGGCAACAGTGAAGGTACACAGTAGGTACAGTGCTGGGCAGAAGGAGAGGGCTCATCCTGGGAAATGTCACCGAGGGGCTGATGTTTGAATTGTGTCTAGGAGAAAGAGGAGCTGCTCTACAAGATGGCATAGGGGAACAGACATCCTAGGCAGGTAGATTGTGTTTGTGAGACTCAGTTCCTGAAATTAGCTTGAGCCCACACTGAAGTACAGTGAGTAATAGTGTTGCTTTGTAACTGTGGGTCCAAGGGCTTCAGGGGTGATTTGTCCCAGTTTGTCAGCATTGTTTGTTGGTAATAGTGAGATTGATGATTTGTACCTGGTCTTGGTGAGATATCCCCCAGCCCCCCAAAAGACTGTGCTGTTGAGACTGGTAATATAGCAGGGATGTGCCTGTGTGACCAGTGACAGGCCTCTTTTTGGGACTCACTGGTTGCAAGGTGTTCCTTGCACACTTGTGTGGTTCCTAGTCGAGAGTCTTTGTTTGGCTACAGTCCTCACAGAGGGAGGACAAAGGAGCCCATGCCTCACCTCCCCGACCCCCTTCTGGTGGACACTTTGACTGTGATGTTTTATATTATGTTCTTTCCCTGTAATAAGCCGTAGATCTGTAAGTATCGTCGTTTTGGGTCCTGTGATTGTTGAGCAAACAGGACCTGTTTAACTCACCACTGTTTGAGCAGATGTAAAACAAAGATCTGTTCAGAGAACTTCTGGCAGTCTGCTATTTTTGGAACACAGAAAAAGGGTTGTTGAGGCCACCTTGAGGAGACACAGAGGAGTGGTATGGCACTGTTAACAGGTTGGGATTTTTCTGAATTTATCACAAGGTTTTAAGCGAACGGGTGATGGGGAGGCCAGGAGACGTGGGAGGGGCGACTCTACTGGCGTCTGGTGAACGGAAACCAGAGATGGTTGTAAACATGCCACGGTGCCCCGGGCAACGCAACCCCCTGCCACAAACAATTATCCATCCCTAAACCAACTGAGACTGAGAACCCCTGGGTTTCGAGGGAAGAGAGATTGGGTTACGGGAAGACCTTTTAGGAAGTTGTGGCTTCAGTCCTGTCTAGACTCTGGATTAGGAGTGGAAGAGGCCGGATGAATTTGAGGGAGGCAGCAACGTCAAGAAATTTGTGTGACTAACCGGACAAGTAGGGAGACTTCGTTTGGGATGATTCCCAGTTTCTACATTATGTGACCGGACAGATTCTAAAGGGGTATTTTTTATCTGAAATAAGATGATTTGTTTGGAAGTTTGCTGGAGGAAGAGTGGCATGGTGATCTGTTCTGGTCCTGTTCAGTTTTGTTGTATTTGACCATTCACAGCACAACGGCCAAGTATGAATAATCAGGTACATAAAAATGAAGTCATGACTTTCACCTGGAGGAAAAGTTGTTGACGTTGGAGAGGCAGTAAATGCCCAGTTGATAAGACACATTTTAAGTCGAAACATCGTACCTGTATGTTAATATTTACATATTAACAGTTTCCTTAGCAGTTTCCTCAGTACATAGTTATATTTCATTTATTTGTCAAAGTGATCTTGTAACATAGTTAGTTATTCATCGTATTTCCTAAGTGACAAAAGGTCACATTAGCAGCTGATCCTTCTTTGAAGTGTGAGGTTTGATCTCTGTTTTGCAGATCTAGAATGGCAACATCGCGCTCACCCTCACCGGGAGCGTTCACACTTGAAAGTACAGGCTTGTGCCACCTGCTCTCATGGGGGTTGGGAACCCTCAAACCCGCATCTCTTCTTCCTCACTTCTTTCCCGTTCTTTCAGCCTGCATCCTTTGTTTCTTACATCTCCCCTCCCTCTTTCTTCCTACTTAATTCTTTGTCCTCTAAGGAGGCCTTTCTCCTCTTTAATCCTTTTCTCCTTTTCCTCTCTCATTATGCTTGTCTACTTACCTCAGGAAGAATCTCCCTCCCCTTCATTTGTATGACCCAAATGGGCCTTTAAATTGTAACTGATGAAGCACAAGCCCTTGAAAATAACTCCAAAGTCCTCTTCAGAACTTTTCATTTACCCCCCTGGCTTTCCTTTCAAATATGCTTGCCCTTTAATACAGGCTTCCAGATAAGCAAAAGATTTGTTTGCTTTTGTTTTGTTTTTGCTTTAATCACAAGTGTATAAACAGGATAGTTTAATCATTGATATTTCTCTGGGAAACAAATTTGCAAAATGAGGCTATACTGTTAGAATCAGTAGCCCACGGGTCTGTTCAGTCCATAATGCTGTTCAAAACAAAAGGTGTATCAAATTCCATATAACTGACGTAGAGAAGCACTTAAGAAACAAACCTAAATTTGGCATTAAAGTGAATTTAAGTTCTATAATAGATACATGCTTGGGGTGTTACGCTAAGCACTGGTCTACTTTCCTCCTGCACTACACTATCCGTGCATGTGCTTGGATGGTGCACATAGGAAATGAGGGGAGAAAATTTAGGGAAGGAAAATACTACATGGCAGTGAGCTTAAGGGTCAAGAGTGTGACTTTGGGGTTCAGATTCTGTCTCTGCCTTTTACTAGATGAGCAATCTTGGGTAGGTTGCTTATCTTTCTTCTCTTTTTTTTTTTTTTTTAAATTTTTTTTTCAACGTTTGTTTATTTTTGGGACAGAGAGAGACAGAGCATGAACAGGGGAGGGGCAGAGAGAGAGGGAGACACAGAATCGGAAACAGGCTCCAGGCTCTGAGCCATCAGCCCAGAGCCCGACGCGGGGCTTGAACTCACGGACTGCGAGATCATGACCTGGCTGAAGTCGGACGCTTAACCGACTGCGCCACCCAGGCGCCCCTTAGGTTGCTTATCTTAACTCAGTTTCTCAGTTTGTCAAATGGAGGGCAGAAACCCTCTCTTGTAGGTTTGTTGGGAGATTCAAGTGATTTAAGAGACCTGCGTTAATTAGAATGGTTATTTGGCTGGTTAGGTAGTTTCTCTCTCCCATCATGGGGAAATTTGTTCAGTGTCTGTAAAGCTTTGGTTGAACTGAAATCTGCCTCCCAAATTCCATCCACTGCTGGGAATTAAAAAATGTGAAATTGCCCTTGATAGTAAAAGTCCACTGCCAGGAGTCTTATCCTTTTAACAGGAAGTCTGGTTGCTTTGTCAGACTTGTGAGTTGCAGTGATATCTTTCTTCCCTTTTTCTCTGTCTTCATAGGTGATTACTGGTGGACACTATGATGTAGACTGTCGATTAGAAGATCCTGATGGTAACGTGTTATACAAAGAGATGAAGAAACAGTATGATAGTTTTACCTTCACCGCCTCCAAAAACGGGACATACAAGTTTTGTTTCAGCAATGAATTTTCCACGTTCACACACAAAACCGTGTATTTTGATTTTCAAGTTGGAGAAGACCCGCCTTTGTTTCCTAGTGAGAACCGAGTCAGTGCTCTTACCCAGGTAAATGAAAAGCAGCAGAATGGTGTGTTGAGACGGAGGGAAAGCATAATTTCACACGCATTCACCCACTGATGAACACGGAGTTTGAGACTTTCACACAGTCTTTCAGATCCATCTTATTTCTTATAGTAGATTAGACATTTCAGGGAACTTCAGACATTTTTGGTGGAGACCACTGTGAAAGGATTTGATGAACTTTGAAGTGTAAGGAGGAGGATCCCTTCAGTGGGAAAGGAAATTTAGGAAGACTGGACAGTGCTCCAGCATTCGGAAGCATTTTTTGTAGTTCATGAGGAATATGGCTTCCATAACCCGGCAGGTTGGTATAACTGGAAACAAAATGATGCCTTCGTTAATCTGTAATCAATATGCCACCTGGTAGTGTTCTCCCAGTGTTTAGTGTTCATTCAGGCTGCTCTTAGAATGTTTGCTAGAACTTAGGGCAAAATATTAAAGATCAGTCGTAAGCCATCTAACAAAAATAGTTAAGGAAGGCAGGTTGGACTTTATGTTGAAGAAGAGCTTAACGAGAGAAAGAGAAGGAAAGAGATTTAAAGTCTGTGAACAGATGCGGCTCAGGTGGTGAGAAGGGCCATTTTCGTTCCAGCTTGAACAGAATGTGAGCTTAGATCTTACCTAAAAGGTACTCAATTAGGTGTCCGAAGGAATTATTTGTTAATTCTACTTGTTAAGCCCTTAAAGTGGTATTTCATTGTTCCCAGGTTCTAGTTAGGTTGTTGGCCCAAGTCATGTGGTGACAGAAGCCATTTTTATTTGTTACTTATTTTTTAAATTTTTTAAAATGTTTATTTATTTTTAATGTATATTTATTTTATCTTTATTTTTTTAGTATAATTTATTGTGAAATTGGCTAACTTACAGTGTGTAAAGAGTGCTCTTGGTTTTTAGGGTAGATTCCCATGATTCCTCACTTACATCCAACACCCAGTGCTCATGCCAACAAGTGCCCTCCTCAATAATAACGTACAGGAGCCTTAACTCATAATCCTACTGTGAGCATTAACAGGATGTATTCATACACTCTTACTTTTAGAAATGTTCTCTTATTTTACCATGCCGTGTGAATGGCGCTTTGCTTTGTAAAAAGGTTTTTCTCTGGGGCCCTTGTTTGTAACATAAGCTTCATGAATTCTAATTTGTATAAGGTAGCTTGCTCTACAAGCCAGATAGATAAATATAACACGTGAGTGGTAATAAAGCAGTTAATAGCTGTTAATCTCCTTTATTTGTATCACATTTTTTATCTTAATCTTATTTTTCTACTTTTGAAAAGCTAATGAGTCCCTCATACCTCCTACGGTTGGTGACACTCACAACACAGTTGTTCACATCTTAGAATAGAAAAATGTACCAGCTGGTAAATGCAGAATAAGTTACCGAGTTGTAGTAAATCACCATTTTTCATCTATTAGTAAAATGATGGATCTGGAGTAGACAGTGTTACCAGTCACTGCTAAAGCCACTAGGTGGAAAGCTGTGGGGGAATTGTACCATGGCTAGATCACACTGATGGCACCAAATCTAATGGCCATTTCCAGATGGAGAGGTAACTGGGCATTGTATGTCTTCTGATAATATGCGTTAATGAAGTACACAACATGGGAAGTTAGAAGGAAGTTGGAAATGCTGCAGGACAGAGGACCCAGTTTCTTCAAGTGGGAAGGGAAGACAGGAAGAGAACCAAAAGATTCAAGAACCCTTGAAGGACACATCAGCCAGACGATTGGGGTTGAAGCTATTTGGATTCTGATTTGGAAACAACTTTTGAGATATTTAGGGAAACTTGAGTACCGAGTTTATATTGAAAACTCTAAGGAACCATTTTTCAATTGTTTTACGTGGCTAATGCTACCAGCGTTGTAGCTTTTAGTGTAGTGTTGCCTTGCAGAAATGAATATAAAGTATAAAAGTATAGTTAAAATGATAACAGCTAAGGGATTTGCCTCAAATTAATTGGAGTGGGGAGAAAAATAGGTGAGGAATACGTACATATTGGTGAAGCAAGATTAGCCACGTGTTAATGATTGACCTGGGGGCTCACTGTACCACGTTCTTTGGAATATGAACTTTTTGAACATGGACTTAAATCTGAACACTTCTCCTTATTAGAAGAGGTAGGGAAAAAAGGGAAACCTCTCAAAAATTATACGAATCCGTGCAGTTAGTCCCTTTATATCTGTGATGTTCTTTCATCCAGCGCTTCTTAACCCTTACTCCGTGTCAGACTTCCAGGAATCCTTAAACATTCTGAATTTGTATCAGATCCTCGCTTTTGTGCACGCTTCCCAGGATTAGCCTCCGTCCCGCTTTGAGAACGCCTGAGAAGGAGAGAGAGTCTAGAAGCGCCTCCGGAGCCTCCTACCACAGATCAGAACATGTGATTATTCATTTTAGCACCGCTTTGCTAATCTTTGATTCTTAGGGCCCTCGACAAAACAGGAACAGGAAAAATGTTTGAGTGTCCCATCTAACAGGTACATGCAATTTGTGGACCACGTAATTTCTCGTACTTCGTGGACCACGTAATTTCTCGTACTTTGTAGAAGCACCTTTAATGGAATATTTTTATAAGTGATTTCTTTCATCTTACTTTGGCAAAAACTTTATTAAATGTTTGAATTCTTTTCTAGTTCTCTATTCCTTCACAAAAAGTAAGACCAGAAAAAAGAAATCCCAGAATCTTTTGAGAGATTCTGTGGGTTTATTAGTGAAAGGAGGAAAGAAGTTATACAAGTCGTTAACACTGTGGTAGAGAGGAGCCCAAATAACTTTGTGACATGGGGGTATTCTAGTGACTGAGTTAGCTTGACAGTTTTGGGGTCTAAAGGAGAGAGAGGAGCAGAAAGGAAAATGGGAAGGTTGCTAAGATAAACTTCATTTATTGGAGAATTTTCCAGAATACAGGAAAGTAGTAATGTTCGCCATCTTCCTCCCTCTGCTTCCCATACTCCGTGGCCCTCATCGCTGTCCTGTTATCATAAAGATATTTTTCCTTTGTGTGGCTGTACACAGTATATATCAACAGTTCATTCCTTAGCGATAAGGGCGAGAAAACCCTCAGATTGTTTGTAACATTCTTAATACATGGTTTGTGATGTAGAATAAGTATAATAATAACGCAGGTATTTCATCACTAGGATTAAGTTTTCAGCAGTAGAAAAATATTACACTCTGCTGTACAAACAAAAAATTTAGACACTTACCCTTTCTCAAAGCAGATAGTGTGATGAATGTATAGAAAGGTAAGGTGTCATCAGATGAAGGCTGGCAAATGGATTACACAGTGAAACTGAAACTTCCTCCCACTGAGAATGTATGTGTTGGTTGACTGGCAGGAGGGAGGACACATGTTTAGCAAATTGATAAATTAAAGAAGGACGCTGACGCCCTGACCTATCACTTTCAGACTCAACTGCTTTTAAGATGGTTAACTTTGTCTGGTGCTTGGTTTATTTTTGTATCTATTTGGACTTTGTACTCACTATTGATCAAATTTTCTGCCCTGCCATTCTCTTCCTCCTAATTCATCCTCCTGGGGGAGCCTGAACTTGAAATTCTGTAACCACCCACTGTCACTGATAAGTATTTGTGCTGCTGTCAGCTTAGCATTCTGTCTAGCACATGGCAGGTACCACCGCTGTGACTTCCCAATTCGGGGCAAGCCGCTGCCTCACCGAATCTCCGGCCTCACCAGTTGTCCTAGTGGGGATGAAGGGAAGGGCCGGTTGCATTGCCGGAACCAGTGGCGTAAATGAGCAGGTGAATGAGTGAGTGCCAGTTCAGTGGTGTGTTAATCAGATGTGGAATTGAGATCTAACTGGAAGATGAATATATTAGATGGATAGGGCAGAAAGTGTCCCACCTACTAACTGCACCTGTCTCTCTTTAGATGGAATCTGCCTGTGTTTCAATTCACGAAGCTCTAAAGTCTGTCATCGACTATCAGACTCATTTCCGCTTGAGAGAAGCCCAAGGCCGAAGCCGAGCAGAAGATCTAAATACGAGAGTGGCCTATTGGTCAGTAGGAGAAGCCCTCATTCTTCTGGTGGTTAGCATAGGGCAGGTATTTCTTCTGAAAAGCTTTTTCTCAGATAAAAGAACCACCACAACTCGTGTTGGATCGTAACTACGTTTTGAGAATTGCTGCACCATTGCCACCATTAATATTGCTGTCCTCTGGTTAATTTTAGGTACCGAAGAACTTACTATTGGCAACATTTTTAAACCTTACTCATACACTTGTTGGGGGGGATTTACAGCACATATCCCCAAACTGTGGAAAGGACACCTTTTTTAATTTGTAAAGGTAGACAAAACTTCGGAACTTATTTTGGGCTATTCATGTTCAATATTCAGCACCAATGATCTTTTCTTGGTTGTTTATATCTTCGCATACTAAACTTTGGTATTTTGATTCCTTTTAGCCATTTAAAAGTACTTTTCTTATAGGTAGTGGATATTTTAAAAACCTTCCATTTAATGTCTGTGTGTTGTGGAGGAAGAGAATTGCCTTTTAATTGTTTATAGTAAAGTTTTGTTTTCCAGAAAACCAAATGTGATTCACTGTACCAGGCCCTAGTCTGCACTGTTTAATTTGAGCATGGGGGAGCCACCCTGGAAATGTTAGTTAATACTGATATAATTTTAAATCGATGGATCATGGTATAATTTATTTCTTACTAGCTTGGAAACTGTCAGTCTTTTGTTTTTTGTCTCCATTCTGTGATTTTTAAGCCGATACGTTCTTTTTTCCACGAAGACGTTCTCACCACAGAGAAAAAAGTAGGTTTCAGCAACGTAACAGCATTTATACAGGCCTTAAAAATCAGTCTGTTAAAACAAGTAGAGTAATTACAGAATAACTTAAGATCCTACATCGGGAGGCAAATGAAATGAGAAAAGTTTTAGTGAGTTGTCTGCGCATATTACATCTTCAGTGCTTTTACAGAGAAAAAAGTTCATCTGTTTTACTTTAACATTTTGATGGGCTGGTTCTTGCCCTAATGTGGCTTCACTGTCTGAGTCATTCCCGGCTTAAATTGACCGCTGTAATACTCACATTGTAAAAGTGCCATATCCTGAGGGGGGTGCTGCACTGAGAAGTTGGTTTCTTTGGATTTTATCCTTTCTTTTTTGTGTGTGTTTTGGTTTTGGTTTGTTTTTTGTCTTGCACATGTAATTTGTACATTTCTGGTCAGTGACCCGAAGATGATCTAAAACTTCAGAATGCCGTGTGTTTCTTATTTGATAATCTTCATCAGTTGTACTGCATTTAATGAATATTAAACAGCGCATATCCTGTACGCTATAGGGTTTAGACTGTGTTTGTATTTTATAACTTGTATAGATCGAGCTGATTGAAATAAGATTTTGTTCAGGTGTTCCAGAATAGAATACAAGACACATGCAAAACTCTGTAGGTGTTTCAAGCTTTTCTGCTGTTAAAAAAAAAAAAAGAATTGCAGCTGCTTTTTGCCATGCCTCCCACCCCCACCCCAGAGTGAGGAGTGCTGAACAAGACTGTCCCACAGAATGCTAATGGGATGGCAGTTCTAGTCACTTAACCACTGTGGACTAGAAGTTAACTCAGTGCAAAGCTATCTTTAAATGTCTTCAAAAAGTAGAACCGGTTCTGCACGTAAGAGCAAAACAAATTCAAAGGTGTTGTGCTTGCTCATTTCAGATGCTACAGTGCAGTGAGGGATGAACACGTTTCCACTCCTTTCATTCTCAAATGCTCGAAGACCAAATAGCTACTCTTTAAGCTGTTCAGCAGCAGACTAGGAACTGAAGTTGACCATTTTGCAGGTTCATCTCTGGGTTTTTGTATCGGGATTGTCCTGCAGCTTTTATAAGTGTCCCTGTATATTTAGATTTGAAACACTAGCGTTAACGTGATTGATCCGCACGGGTGTACGTTATCTGTCCTTCTCCGCTTGCCTGTCTGCTCTGTTGTGTTCCAATACCTTCCACCATAATTAATCCCCGGCAGGCAGCATCAGTGCACCTGGTTTGGCTTAGGTAATGCGGTCATTCAGTCTGCGCCTCCCAGAACTACACGATACTAGACGATTACTACAAATAACTTCTGATGAAACTATCGAGCTGTCTTGAAATTTTTGAAGTCACCGTTGTTTCCTGTTGTAGAAAATAGTACAGGCTTAGTCGACACTCTCTGTAACTGGTTCAAGTTTGACAGCTGTCTATTCTCAACTGGGTATGTATATTGAAATCAGAAAATACCTATCTATCCAGACCTAAATGTTTAAGAACTTTTTTTTCTTCCTCCTGCTGTATAATTTGTAGCTCCTCTTGTTTCTTTAATCCTTTCGTAACTTGTTGGAAGAGTTTGAATTTCCCAAATATTTATGTTTAGACATATGGCTCAGAATATATATTTAACATCCTTAGCTGTATATATTTTTAAAGTAAAATAAATAATGGAAAGGGCCTTGATATACAGGTTTGTTACTAAAATATCAACTGTGTGAAGATCCATTTTAAGATACTACTTTGCTAATTAATCTAAACATGGTTTTTTCTATTAAAGACACAAACGGTTTGTGGTTCACAGCTCTCATCCTGGTTTGATGATAATCAACTTTGAAAATACAGTGGACCGAGGAGTGGTTTTGTTCTTTGGAAGGTTTCATTTAAATCTCTGTACATCCATTTTTGCTTCAGTTTGTGTAACATTTATAGTTCTATAGGACAAAGCAGACCCTATGACTATTGTTTTCAGAAGTTAATATATAAATAATTCAAAGGGGGTTTTCATTTACTTTTGAAAAGAAAAATTTCTCTAAACACATGTGGGTCCTGCAGGATTGCACCAATCAATTCTTGTAGAATAAAAAAAAAATCTTTCAACAAACTGACTTCACTTGTTTCTGTCAGGATTTGTCTTTTTACAGTTTCTTAAAAACTTGCAGCTTGGAGTACAGTTTGTAGCGAGAGAGTGCTTTTTATTGGGTGTTTCATCTAGACATCTCAGGGACTAGCCAAGAAAGAATGATAAAGAAGAAGAATACCGCCTCTAAACTACCTCATTTTAAACCTTTTTGCATTTTCTCACTGGAAGTTTTGGGTGAAAGGGAGTAAAGTCCTCAGTTCCCTAAAAAGCTTTGTCTTTAAGTAAATTAGCCTTAGGTTGTATAATGCCAAGTTTCCTCAATTGTTTTCTTACCCTTCATGATGTACTCACAGGGGACATTTGGGTTCCAGGGCAAAATTCTACAAAAGTAGCAGAGACCCAGCAGTAAATACAGGTTGATATGTGCAGTCAGGTGCCGCGCTAAGTATTTTACTTGCATGGACACATTTCATCTTGGCGATAATCCTGTGCACTGAGGATATTCTTCCCATTTCACAGACAAGGAGATGAAGAGGCATTGAGAGGTTAAGAAACCCCCCTGTATCTCAGTATCATTAGCACAGTCTGTGAAGCACGGCGCTCTGGCTCCCGAGGCCTCTCCCGCGACCACGGTGCAGTCAGTACTGCCTTACAGACACCAACCAAGGAGAGATCTCAGAAGGCTTAGCTCTCTTGGTTTCCCTATAGCTCAGCAGCAGTTCAGGGCTTTAGCTTTCGCGTCACCGCCAAGTGCAAATTATAGTTGTGTGCCCTCACACAAGTGATTGTGTTAACTTTGTGTGTGTCTTCACCTGTCGCTAAGGTAATAGTTGCTATAAAGAGAATAAAATGAGATGTTCACGAAACACTTAGGATCAGTAGCCACCCTATACAAGCCCTTAATAAATGCTGTATTTTCCTCATTGGTCCAGTTCTAGTCTCTTGATCTGTCTGGAGTTTCTGAAGTTTTTACCGCAGCCTGTATTCTTAACGGCTCTTAAGTAAATACATAACACGAATATGAAAGTATTTATCATGTGCATGAATGATCTAGAATTCTGGTTTCAGAAATGAGTACAGTACTCTGACCACCAGGAATGTAACTTAGTTGGGGAGACAGGATAGGTCTCTGAGCAGCTAATGTTACGTAAATAGTGAAGTGGAATGGACTCAGAGAGGCTTAAGACCTTTCAGGGTGCTAGAAGTAAAAGAATATGGAGGTCAAAAGATTTACTCCCCGAGGAGTTTTAACTTTGTCTCCCCACAGGGGAAACTCATGGTTGTCTAGGTAGGCCAGTGGTTAAGTGGATTAATCTCTAATTCAGAGATAGGTGGACTATTGGCCAGTCCCCATTGCTGCATATTGAAAAAAACACATTCTTTTACTTTGTTAACAATAGAAGGGATGTTTGGTCTGACTTCTCTGTCATGGTTGTTTCCAAATCCAGGAAGAAAATACAAGGATGTTATCCCTAACCACCAAATGTGCTGTCTTTCATTCTACATTTCTCCATTTTATCCATAAGATATTATTAGAAATGATCCTATTACTCGCTGAAATCAAGATCTACTAGAAGTAACGCTGGTCTGGCACAATCTTTTTAATTAAAGAGAAAAGGCAGCACAAGAATTTGAGAAATAATAATTAGAAGAATAAAGTCCACTCATCCCACCGTCCACTTAGATGTATTTCAGGTGTGTGTGTGTGTGTGTGTGTGTGTGTGTGTGTGTGTTTAAATGTTTATTTTTGAGAGAGGCACAGAGGGGGACAGGGGATCCAAAGGCGGCTTTGCACTGACAGCAAACTGCAAGGTTAGGACCTGAGCCAAAGTTGGACACTCAACCAACTGAACCGCCCAGGTGTCCCTATATTTTAAGAACTGGTATTCTATCGTCTGTAACAAAATTTTAAACTTAAAATGGTAAATAAAAGTGGACATAATAGCAGAAGTTATTAAGGGCGCCTGGGTAGCACAGTAGGTTAAGTGTCTGACTCTTGATTTTGGCTCAGGTCATGATCTTGTAAATCATGGGGTCGAGCCCTGCATTGGGCTCAGTGCTGACAGTTCAGAGCCTGCTGGGAATTCTCTCTGCCTCTCTCTCCCCTCTCTCAAAATAAACAAACTTAAAAAAAATAAGCCTGAAAAAAAGTTATTAGATGTATATATAAAGAGGAATAATGTAACACACATTCATATCACCAATGCTCAGGTTAAATGCCACCTTGCCAGCACCCTGGAAGGCTTTTGGGTATCCTTTCCTGATCACATCCCTGAATTTCCCCACTAGAGATCAGCAATGTTCCGGTAATGAAAATAATTTCCGAAGCACTTGGGTGGCTCAGTTGGTTGAGTGTCCCGACTCGATTGCGGCTCAGGTCATGATCCCAAGGTCATGGGATCAAGCCCCACATTGGGCTCCATGCTGAGCCTGGAGCCTGCTTAAGCTTCTGCCCTTCTCCCCAACTCGTATTCTCTCTCTCTCTCTCTCATAAAAAGAAAAAATTCTTGATGTTAGGTAAAGCATCTTTATAACCTTTTTCTCCAAGATTTGGGCTGTCATCTTTGTCATCTATGCTTTGCATTTAAAAAAATTTTTTTTTAATGTTTATTTTTGAGAGAGAGAAAGAGCATG